TAAATAGTAAAAATAAACAAACAAAGTGAGCTAAGTTTGACCCTATGAATAGTGTCTGGGAAGATCTATGGTGGACAGATGGAGTACATTACATTGCGAAAAAATTAATGATTATTCGAACGACTAAAAATATCTTCAATCAAATCCGCCGTTAGTGCATTGTGAATCTCTCGACTTCGGATTTCTTGACGGTTTCTTCGTTTCTTTTCTTCATCGATTTCTTCATACGTAGTACCTCCTCTTTGTTTCTTTCAATTTTTTCAGACATTTCTAGTTTTTTTCTGTTTTTTATAATTCTTTCTTGTTTTTTCCAATTTTTTCAAACTTTCCAGTTTTTACCAATATCTAACTTTTTCTTTTTTCCGTCCTAAAGAACAACCTATTATTGTCATTGTTTTTTGGATAAAATTTTTAAAACAACAACAACAACAATAATAACTACGATTATTATTATATTTTAATAATTTACTTTATGGTCAAGTTGGTTAATGACAAACGAGAGTAATTAATGGAGTAATCGAGATAAGATCAAGTCGTGCTTGACTCATAGACTTTGAGTCACTTCGTTACTTCCCAGTTCAGCTTGCCATGGCCAAAGAGACCTCCTCCTCCGCTAACCACCGCTCCTCGCCGGAGAACGGCGGCTTCAAGTTGGTGGGGTTCAACAATTTCGTCCGCGCTAACCCCAAGTCCGACCATTTTCCCGTCAAACGCTTCCACCACGTGGAGTTCTGGTGCGGCGATGCCACTAACACCGCCCGCCGATTCTCCTGGGGCTTGGGGATGCCTATTGCCGCTAAATCCGACCTCTCCACCGGAAACTCCGCCCACGCTTCCTACCTCCTCCGCTCCCCCTCCGGCGAGCTCCAGTTCCTCTTCACCGCTCCCTACGCGTCTTCCATGTCCGTCCCGTCCTCCGCCGCCATCCCCGGCTTCTCCCCGTCCGCCCACCGCTCTTTCACCGCCGCGCACGGCCTCGCCGTCCGCGCCGTCGCCCTAGTAGTCGATGACGCCCGGGAAGCTTTCGCTGCCAGCATCTCCCGCGGCGCGAAACCCGTGCTGGAACCTGCGACGATCGGCGACCAGGTCCACATCGCCGAGGTCCACCTCTACGGCGACGTCGTGCTCCGATTCATCAGCCATCTCGGCGATCCCGCCGCCCACACGTTCCTCCCCGGGTTCGAACCCGCGGACGAAACGTCGTCGTTCCCAGATCTAGACTACGGAATCCGCAGACTCGACCACGCCGTGGGGAACGTCCCCCGGCTGGCCCCCGCCGTGGAATACATCAAATCCATCACCGGATTCCACGAATTCGCGGAGTTCACGGCGGAGGACGTGGGGACGGCGGAGAGCGGGCTGAACTCGGTGGTGCTAGCGAACAACGAGGAGACGGTTCTGATGCCTCTGAACGAGCCGGTTTTCGGGACGAAGAGGAAGAGCCAGATCCAGACATACCTGGAGCACAACGAGGGGCCAGGGGTGCAGCATCTGGCCCTCGCGACGGAGGACATATTCAGAACCCTGAGAGAGATGAGGAAGAGGACCGGAATCGGGGGTTTCGAGTTCATGCCGTCTCCCCCGCCAACTTACTACAGGAATTTGAAGAGCAGGGCTGGTGGAATTCTCGGGGATGAACAGATCAAGGCGTGTGAAGAACTTGGGATTCTTGTGGATAGAGATGGTCAGGGCACCCTTCTTCAAATCTTCACCAAGCCTGTTGGAGATAGGTATATTATACATCACCCATCTTCTTCTTCTGAATCATTTAAAGACCCATTTGCCATTGATTCCTTCTTCTTTGATTCCCAAGATTAGTTTTTTCTTTTCTTTCCAGAATTAGCTGATTAGAGAACAAAGAATTAAAGAGTATGTTTAAGAATAGCGTTAGCGTTTTGAAAAATCTATCTACGAGCAACGTTTAACTTTAACGTTTTCAAAGTTAATCTGCACCATTAAAATGTATTCAAAACGCTAACGCTAATCGAAAATGCTATTCCAAACGGGCCATTGTTCTTGGATGGAGCTATCTGGCTTTGAATCTTTATTTGGGTGATTTTGTTTCCGAAACCAGAATGGGATTCTTTACAAGGAGCTGTTCTCTTTCTATATACGGAGTATACCACATTAGTATTTATTGAAGGGGATGTGATAGAATTTAGGACGTTGGATTGGGTAATAAGACACTTGGGTTGAACTACATTAAAAAATTCAATCCAATCGATTAGTAAGTTCAACTCAAGATCTTATATATCAATTACTTTACTCTTGAACTTCCGATATGGAATGAACTTTAACATGATGATCTTTATTGAATCCTGAATGGTTTGGTTTGTGGGTGTGGGTTGCAGGCCGACAATGTTTATAGAGATAATCCAGAGAATAGGGTGCATGGAAGAGAAGGAAGGGAAGATGCAGCAGAAGGGTGGGTGTGGAGGGTTTGGTAAGGGCAACTTCTCTCAGCTCTTCAAATCCATTGAAGAATATGAGAAGATGCTTGAAGCCAAACAAGCCCTTGCTCCCTAAGGGCTTATGCTCTTACCGCAACTGAATGGTTTTGATTTGATTCGATTAAGTTCTTATCTGATTTAAAGCTAATAAAGATAATTGTCCCTTACACAGTTACACTACACCACTCTCTATGTATGTGTATCTATTTGTAATTTTGTACTCCTTCCACTAACATTATGACTATATATAGGAAGTTAAATGATTATAGACATTGATTTAGTGTTTGATGCAAAATCATACTCCTCTGTCAAAAAATTATCTTTTCGTTCACTATTTACAAGATCAAACTTTATTCATTTTGTTGTCTTACTTTCGTTACCTATTTGACAAAATACTATAGTCATGTCATCTTTAGTTTTATAGATTTTTTGATATAGCTTTTTAATATTTTTTTTATTTTTTAATTTCACACCATTTTTCATATAAAAAGATTTGAAAATAACTTCAGTCAAATATCGTAATGCCCAACGGGTAGATAATTTTTGCGCGGAGGGAGTAATAATCATGTGAGTATGACTTTTGTGATAGATAAATTCTATGGTGGACTTAAGATCTACCATGGTCATAATCATTTTTTTACTACTTATATAAACATTTATTTTTTAAAATAAAAATTGAGAAAATCTACAAATATGATAACCATCCAAAATACATCATATGATGCATCAAAAGTTGAATGACATTCATTCCATTTTTTTATGCAAAATCATAATAGTCATGAATGGTGGGACTTGAAAGTTGGGAGTATTGCACATGTATATTTTTACTCTAAATAAATAAATTTAACTGCGGTAAAATTATGCTTTTTCTACATTTCGGTAAAAAATAAATGACCAACTTTTTTTGTTGTTGGATCGAAATCATCAGTTAAATGTGTTTTTCGTTTGTGTGTCTAATTTTGACCAATAATACACAACAATATACAATGAATTAAAAATAAAAAATCTATATTGAAAATTTCTTGGGTAATGCTACTTGTACCCCAAGGATTTGTACCCCGTTTTATACACCGCAGGAATGCACCGACATTTTGGGTAAATGTAATGCTAATTTTTATTAACGCACTAACACTTTGTGTCAGTGTAAATTTTTGTTAACACACCAATACTTTCTGTCAGTGTGAACCATCAAAATATTTGTACATATCTTTGGTGTTCAAATGAGGTACAAATTTTGGGGTACGTGTAGCATAGTTTGAAGCCCTCAATTCCAATTCCATAGTTTGAATTCTGTGTACCAAACAGGCCTTAATGTCTTCCGTTTGTCAATCTCCAGATGAATAATGTCAGGTTAGATATGTAGGAATTCCCTGAATGGGAACTTTTTAGGGAGGAAATTCCCCACGCAAACATTTGCATGTTGTACATGCGGTTTTTTTTTCTTTTTTTTCTCCAGAAATTTCGCATGTCATGCATGCTAAAACATCAACATCAAGTTGCTTTTCCAGTTGGTACCACGCAAGTGCAAGCTTTTCACTGTTTTTTTTAATTATTTCGCATGTACTACATGCAAAACAAAATGTCATTTTTTTATTAAATAATATCTCCCCCAAATGCATATATGGTTCCTTAAAGATTATATAAATAATATTATGTATTTATATATATATATATATATATATATATATAAATTCTTTACATATCATTAAATATGTATTATTGAAATTTTTGAATATCAACATCAATAATAAATTTAAGAAGAAAATATGATTAAACATTAACTATAATGAACCATTTTTAAGAAAGTACACAACATAAAAAACACATAGAAAAAAAAGTACAATTATTTGAACACATAATAAAAAAGTACACTTAAAAAATACTTAAACATAATTATTAATTTGCCCTACCATCCATCTCTCCCGGATAACGATTTTGTTGACGACGTCCTCGACGGGGAGTCTCTTCTAAAGGACGTATCGGTGGCAAGACTTTCCAATCACCAACATTCAAATTTTATGAAAAAATGAACACTTCAATCCAACCACTGTAAACAAAAGACCCGCCAAATGAGTCCGGAAACAAAAGACCCTCCAAATACCCATAGATGACCCGAGCTGTGTGTTGCTCCACCTCCCGAATTGTCCATCCAGCATTTGGTTGAACTTGCTGTTAAATAAAAAAAATATTTAAAAGTTAAGTGAAATATACGTAATAAAAAAATACTTGAGAAATGTTGAATGTTATGTAGTAGTGTAAGAATAGATTAAATTTGAAGAGTGTGTAAAGTGGTGGGTGAAGGGGTGGTTTGAATAAAATTATATGAGAAATAATTAAGAAGATAAAATATCTTCATAAGTTCATACAAAATATATTCATGTAAACACTATTTTAAAAAATATATTCATTAAAACACATAATTTCGAAAAAACTATTTTCCTACATTTTTATAAAAAATTTAAAATATTATGGAGCACATAGTTGATAAATATGTGCTAAAAAAAATCTATAATCAATATTATTAATATTTTAAAGTTAACTGAAATATAAGTAATAAAAAAATACCTGAGAAATGTTGAATGTAATGGAGTAGTGTGAGAATAAGTTAAATTTGAAGAGTGATTAAAGTTGTGGGTGAAGGAGTGGTTTAAATAAAGTAAAATGTGAGTGATAAGTAAGAAGATGAAGGGGTGGGTGAAGTTAGATGGTTGGGATGAGAGTCGTTGTAATGTGTGATGGAGTGGAAAAGGTGAGGTGGAAAAGAAGTGGAAAAGGTGGGTTTTATTGAGTGGTGTCGTGGTGGAGTGAAAAAGGTGGAAGTGAAAACAGTCCCGCTAGGGGTACACCGTATGGGTACCCCAAAATCACCACCATATACACCCACACGGCCAAACCCCCCCACCCCCACTTCCCCCACCCACGTCAGTTTCCCACCTTTTTTCCTTGCCCATTCCCTCTCTTCCCACGCACGATTTCTCCCCCTGTCGTCAACTACCCGAGATTTTTCTCACACATTCGTTTTCTCCCACCGGACCTACATCGGATGTCACGGCCGGCCGTCCATCGTGTTCCTGACACTCGCGCACATCATCAGCAGTGTCTGTCACCATCATCATCACAATCTGGAAGCTTTGTTGTACGAGTGTGTGCGTGATAATGTACGAAGAACCTCCAGTCGTCCCTATGTTTGCAGGTAAGTTAATCCGTATAGTAAACAGTATATGAACCTCTGTCATGCTAATTTTCAATTTTGTAACTCACACAGAGACTATGATGTATATTCAGTTGTAACACAGATGAAAAGTGTTTGTGATAATCTTAAAGAATGGAATTTTTTGGAAAATAGTCCTTTAATGTAACTGGATTTGGATTTTTCGTAGTAGTCGTATTGATCCATGTTTAAAAGCATGAAGAAGGGGTAAAAGATAATTTTGTTTGTCACTCTGTTTTCACAGACAGTATGTTATTTAAATTAAAGCGTCACAGACATTTAATGTATGTAATAATTGGAATAAGGGGAATTGTAGTGTTGTGATAGGTCTGTTGGTTTTTGACGAATATACTTGTTAAATCCATATGTTTAGTCAGACAATTACGTGTTTACAGTATTTCAACACAGACGTACAATGTACATAGTTTATGGAACCAAGAAAATTTAGCAGAGTATGTGCTTAAGGTTTGTGCTTAGGATTTCACAGACAGTGTGGTATTTCATGAAGTGTAAAACAGACATTTACTGTATGTGATAATTGGAACTGGGAATTTTAATGTTGTGATTTGTTTTTCTTTGACAGATTTAATAGACATTGATGACATAGATCCTGTACTTGACATCTCTTTCATTGACATGTTGGATGGGTGCGAGGAAAACAACTACACAACGGGGCATTGTATGTTTCAAGTTTATATAACCCTCCTCATGGTAAATATCATTAATACTAAGGTATTATATTGTTTTCTAGGTTTTGAGATGGACATGTCTAGAGAGCTATGTGTTGAAGAACACGGAATTGATGGAAATGTTGGAAATGTTGGTCCAGAAACAGCGGTGTTGAACATGCCGGCCATGGGTAACTTGTCCACACATGAAGAGAATGAAAGTGATGGCAATGTTCGAAGAAGTGATGAACTCCCAGTCCCTGTAAGCCTTGTCCCTGATGTTGGGATGAAGTTTTCGAATTATGATGCCATATATGAATTCTACCATACTTATGCAAAGGGAATGGGGTTTCCCATTAAAAAGAGAAGTTTGAGGAGGGGATGTCATGGAACAATACGTTCTATCACAATCTCATGTGGTAGAGAAGGGAATAGGGTGAGCCGATCTAAGAATTGTCTAAAGCCACAAGCCCGATCCAATTGTGGTTGCAAAGCCCGAATTACGGCAACATGTGATGATGAAGGTGTGTTTACTATTACTGTGGCCAATTTGGAACATAATCATGACATTAGTCCATCAAAGTCACGGATGTGGCGTTGTAACAGGAAGTTGCCTGACCACATAAAAAGAAGGCTCGAGATGAATGATACAGCATGAATCCCCCTTCACAAGAGCTTTAACTCAGCAGTGGTTGAAGCAGGAGGGTACGATAAATTGTCCTTTATCGAAAAGGATTGTAGGAACTACGTAGAGCAAGTGCGAAGGGTGAAGCTTTGTACAGGGGATGCCATGGCCATACAAGCATACTTTTGTACAATGCAAGCTAAAAGTGACGGGTTTTTTTATAGCATGGACCTTGATGAAAACTCAAAATTAAAAAACCTATTTTGGGCAGATAAGAGGTCTCGTCTTGCTTACAAGTACTACGGAGACGTTGTGACATTCGATACGACATACCTCACAAACAAGTACGATATGCCGTTCGCACCGTTTGTGGGTGTTAACCACCATGGGCAATCAATACTTCTAGGTTGTGGCTTAGTTTGTTGCGAAGAGACAGAATCTTTTGTGTGGTTATTTCAAACATGGCTCAAGTTCATGGATGGAATACCACCACGTGGTATCATAACAGACCAAGACAGGTCGATGAAAAGTGCAATTGAAATTGTGTTCCCGAGTACTAGACATCGGTGGTGTTTGTGGCATATAATGAAGAAAGCACCGCAAAAGTTTAACGGGCATGAGGATAAGGACAAAATACTTTGGAGATTTAATAACACTATTTTTGATATCTTCGAAACAGAGAAATTTGATCAAGCTTGGAAACATATGATTGCAAAATATGGACTAGAAAAGAACTCCTGGCTAGCGGGGTTATTTCTAGAAAAGGAACGTTGGGTACCTTGTTATTGTCGTTCATCATTCTGGGCAGGTGTGTTCCTCATACTCAAAATTAGTGTTTTCAAAAACGTGTTATGTATATTATATGCATATCATATACAGTTAGTGTCTGTTTTACTACTCGAAATGTCAATAGTCTATGGTACTTAAATCTTTGGTTTTATGGCAGGTATGTCTACTACCCAACGGAGCGAGAGCATCAATGCTTTTTTGATGGCTACGTCCACTCCAAAACAACACTTACACAATTTGTTAACCAGTATGAGCGTGCAATGAGGAAGAGAGTTGAGGATGAATTCCAGGCAGATGCACAATCTTTTGGAAAAAGTATGCCTTGCGTGACAACATTCCCCATGGAGAATCAAGTGCAAGAAGTTTATACCTCAGCAAAGTTCATAGAATTCCGAACGGAATTAACAAGTAAGATGTACTGTGACATTTCTTCTTGTGAGAATGGTATCAAGTACGAAATCGATGATGATGTTTGTGGCAAAGATTTAGCTGGTAATGATTTCTATAAAAGGGTGCGATTTGTGGTACAGTATGATGCTGCAAAAAATTTTGCGACATGCACTTGTCATTTATTTGAGTTTCGGGGGATTGTATTTCGTCATTGTCTTGTTGTTCTCATTAGGAACAAGGTTAAATTCCTACCCGATCAGTATATATTGGATAGATGGCGACGAGATCTGTGTCGAACGTACACGCGAGTTCCAGTTGATTATGATGGCTTGTCATGTAGCCTAGAACAGACACGTTATGATGTTATGTGTACTCAATTTCAAGAATTGGCAAACTTGGTGGCGGATGATGAAGAGCAGGTCAATGAGGTAACAGAATGGATTCGCGACAAAGTGCTTCTATCTCGGTCAAGGAAAGCAAAAAATAGCTGCCCGATGGATGTAAATATAGATGATCCCAATTTGGCAACCATCATTGACCCCGCATGTTCCAAGCAGAAGGGCGCCCCTCGTAAACTTCGATTAAAGTCGATGGTGGAGAAAAAAACTCGGAAACGAAAGATCAACAAAAAAGAGAAAGGCAACGGAGCAAAAGAAATTTCAAGTCAACATTCAAGTGATGCATCACCTCATGTTCTAGTGGCACCTCAAGCGTGGGATGTCCCAGGTGACGATGGGGTATTTGACCTTACCATTACAAACCTGGACTTGTCTTTAGCCATTCCATAGTTTCGAAGGGTATGGATCCTTATTTTTGTGTAAATACGATTTTGTATGTAAATGTCACAGACATTCCTCACGCAGAACATTGTGGTTACAGACATTTAATGTCTGTGCGTGGTAGTATATTTATGTCTGTGTGTATATGTATTTTAAGTGTCACGATTTTTTGGTCAAAACATGAAGATGCTAGTAAGGACATGTGCAAATTTTCAAACACAAGATATCTTTGACATTGTGGGTATATTTATAAAACAGATACTTCTAGCCTAGGACATGGTTAAAAAAGACACTTCTCGCCTATGACAAAAATAAACATTGGGTATACTTAGAAAACATACATTTCTCGCATTGGACTTGAAGCAAACAACAAACCGTTGTTTGACATTGGGTATACTTATAAAACAGACACTCCAAGCGTAGGACAAGAAAAAAATAGACACAACAAATCTGTGATTACGTCTGAAGTATGTACATAGAAGTGTTAAAAAATAGAAACACAGACACTTCTGTCATTGTACAGTAAAGATAAGTGCAGAAAATGTCTGTGAAAGAAAACATGGTAGATATGGCAACACAGGCAGAATATATATGGCATTAGAGGAAGAAACATGACGAAATGGGAAAACATAAACAAAAAAAATATGTGTTACACGAACAGGTCAGGGAGTAAATGTTTGTGTGTTACAAAGAGATAACCCATTCACAGCAGGTAACTAATGTTATCAACCAAAAACACCTTGCGTTCATTGATTTTAAGGACAATGTTTAGGTACATTCCCTTTACTCAAACGCCACAACCGAACAGCGAATTCTTTGCGGAAGTCTTGGACATGATCGTGTTTACAACTTGGTAGTAGTGGCAACCCAGCCATCAAGTATTCCGCAAATGCAAGTACCATGATGCCACAGTCACCGGAACTGCACCAACATAAATTAACCATTTCAGTGCACACATGACATAAAAAAGCCGAATGTTACTAGAAAATTAATCAAAGCTTACTCAGATTTTTGTTGGGGCACTTTTTTTGCAACAACAGTCTTCCACTCATCGCAAGTTCTTTGATCTACTCTACATTTTACCGTGCGTAAAAGAGCCGGTATCCTTTGAACCAATGTTGCTACATCGGAAGTTGATCTTGAAGAAGACATAGAATCGTAAACTCTAACCTCTTTCATTACCATATCAGTCTCCATCAGAATCCAGTGCTTTAATCTTGCATTCAATATAAAATAGACCTATTTATACACAAAAAATATTAGCATTTTTATGTTATTACATATATGGTTATTGAAAATAGAAAAAGTTGACCTTATCCAAATGTGTCCAATCCAGTCTTCTAAGGTATCTGTCATGAGGCCATGATTTATCACCAACTCCCTTACCAAGCAAATGACACTACACAAAACGTGTAGAATTACTTTTAAACACACAAAAAATTACATCATGGATTTTCGAACAACAATAAGAAAGTGAATAAAAATTACCACAAACATTGGTCCATATATCGCCACTTTTGGGTGAGATAGTTTTTGAACGCCACACATCATTTCCTCTACCATGGCTTGGATGTGCTGCATGTATAAAATAAAGCTAGTGAAATTGATGAAAAAACAAAAGAAAATTAAATGTATTAATCATACATACATCGCTATGCAACCAAGCATCATTGCACAAAAGGGTACTAAAAAAAGTACGATCCACGGAGTGCACAGTTGTGAAGTTCAAATGTACACTTTTAGGATCTTGACCATCATCCTCTTCCAGCCAAGAATTCAGCTCATCCCATTCTTCATGACTGAATGTTATAGAGAAGGGATTGTGTGGATTGTATTTTTTCTTCAAGAGTCTTGGGTCGGTATAAGGGGTCTTCACAAATTTTGATTTTTTCTTCACCCTTTTGTTAGCATTTTCTGCTGCCAACTCCTTCTTTGGGAGCAGTGCAGAAGCCTGTTGCTCAACCACATCATTCGTCACTTGTTCCTGTAATACATAAACAATAAGGTATAAAATTTAAATTACGTACAATAAAAGAAAGTGTTTGTAAGCCCATAAAATATACACACCTGCTCATACACAAGCTCAACAGGCCCAGGAGTTAAACAAGCTATAGCATACTCTTGGGTGTTGATGATATTATCTTGATACAACTACATACATGTACAGTGCAAAATAAAATATATGTCAATCATGTCTGGTCATATCTTGGAAAACAGACACTTCTCACCTAGTCCAAGAAAAAAACAGATACTTCTCCCCTATGACATGAATAACACAGATACTTCTCCCCTATGACATGAATAACACAGATACTTCTCCCCTATGACATGAATTACACAGATACTTCTCCCCTATGACATTAATTACATAGACACTTCTCCCCTATGACATGAATTACACAGACACTTCTCCCCACCCAAGTATAGTGTTACAGAGCAGTGTACATCCCAGAATAATTCAAAAGTAAAAAACTTACATCATACACAGCTTTCTGGACAAGCTGCTGACCTTCGTCGTGACTGCATTCTGCTCCCCCATCTGCTTGCTTATCCAAAACCTGCTTTACCTTTTCTCCGTTGATCCCTTCTTCTTCTGCTTCTTCTCCTTGCCCGTTTCCTTTTCCACATTCTTCTTCTTCTTTTTCAGCTTCTTGTACTCCTTCTTCCACGTCGTCTTCTTCTTCTTCTTTTGTAACCTCTTCATCATCATCATCTTCTTCTTCTTCATCATCTTCTTCTTCTTCATCCACTTCTTCTTCTTCTTCTTCTTCTTCTTCTTCTTCTTCTTCTTCTTCTTCTTCTTCTTCTTCTTCTTCCTCTTCTTCTTCTACTTTTTCCTCTTCCGCTTCATCTTCTTCATCACAGTGATCAGTCTTCTTTTTTCTTCCCTCGATAGTCAGCACCCATCCTCTTCCTTTTTCTCCCTTGAACGCTCAATACTTCCTTTCCAATCTCCTTCCTTTTCCCTCGTTCAACCCTTGTCACATGGTCTACCGCCCCCTTCCTTTTCCTGCCTACAACCGTGAACATATCCTTCACGTCACAACACAAACCATCAATCTTATCCTCCAATGCATCAATCCTTTTGTTTAGAGTGTTCTTTAAATCTTCAACACTTCTAAACAACAAATCAAGTGTGTTGTCCTAAAACAATTTAAGGAAATAAGTTAGTAAAAAATCAAAAATACATCAAGCATATGGTAATGATGCTTTTATCAAATTCTCAACTATGATACCATCTTATTTGCGACTTCTTCAGGCTCACTAGGGAATAACAACTGCTTTAGAGATTGGTATTGTGGGCATTTCTTGGCTCTCCAACGTAACAGTGGACATTTTATCTCTCGATTACACTGAGCAACCTCGTCGTCAAGCACTGGAAACGTCTCATAAGCCCAAATCTGAGAAAATAAAACACATGGAAATTACATGTTACAAAAGTTCACAAAATGTGTCTGTTTTTTTCATGTCAGACAGATAATGTGTCTGTTTTATTCATGGCAGACAGATTTTTAATTCTATTTTATAAATATACACAAACAGATGTGTCTGTTTTATTCAGAGCCTAGGTGAGAAGTCTTAGTGTTTTCCATGTCCTAGTATAGAAGTGTCTGTTTTATAAATATCCTAAAATCTGAGAAAAGAAGACAATGTGGAAATCAATAATTTTTATGAAACATCATATAAAAATATGTAGAAGAAGAAATATAAATTAAACTTACCTGCAGAACAAGTGGAAATTCATACAACGCATATTTCCAAGACTTCAAATTGGAGTTGTTATTTTTCTTTTCTTGAAATTTCTCCGGTTGGCCATCCATCATCCCCTTCAGATGGCGCAGCGTCAGGAGGTATGACTCCCAAGCCCAAGGATATGCATTGAACACGTCAGGGTCATCAACTGCTTCGAGGTGGGAGGCATCAATGCATGTACCTCTATCTTTTGCTAACAACACATGCTCAACAAAATACAATGAGGCAAGCTTATGTAAATCACTGCCGGGTACATCTTCCTCCGCAGTCATAAACATATTCCGCAAGTGCGCGAAGGTGCATTTCACCGTCCCCCCTCCAAGATACTTTTTGTGAATAGTCTCGGACAAAGACTTCACATTGCTAAAATTTGGATATGACTTGGAAGTCGGCAAACTTGTGATTCGACAGAAATCTTCAAAAGTGAACTTGTGAAGAGTACCATTGATCATAAACCACATCTCGTCTTCAGGTTGTTCGCGGGCGAGATGTAACATAAGGATATGGATGAGTTGTCCAGAAAATTGGAGCTTCCGCACATCCATGAAATGACCGAATGGCATTTTTCGAAAGTTCACCATATTCTCTACACTCAATTTGCTCCTAACTATGGCCACTGCATCTTCTAGTTCTCCACAAACCGAATACTGCACAGGGAAGTGATCTTTGGTGGGAACCATAAGTGCCATTTTATTGTACCTACAAAATAAACATCCGTCATTGCCATAGTCACCGGATATAAGAGAGCAAAGAAAACTAATAACCTTAGCGTAGTACTTCTATTAGAGATATGATAGTAATAAATGGGCAAAAACATGATACGAAGCACGTAAGGAAGTAACACTGAACACATACATTCTGCGTCTGTGAGTAGCATTTCACATACATTTGCCATTTTTAACAAAACTAAACATGGAATAAAGATTATTCAGAACTTAGGGTTCATAATAGATGATCAAAAAGTAATAATTGAGACAGATAAAACATGATACAAAGCTGGCAAGAACTGTAAACAGAAAATAGATATTCCGCGTCTGTGAATAGCAGTTCACATACATTTACCATTTTTTCGGACATAAACATAAATAACGGTAATTAGGAATTTAGGGTTCATATTCCGAGATGAAAACGTAAAAATTCTGCATATGAATAACTATTTCTTCTACTTCGGACCACGCATTTCATTGGTGTATTTAATCGCTGCAATTTACCATTTTGGCTAGAAATTTCATGTAATTAAGCCCTTAAAAGGTATAAATTCAGCATAATAATACCTGGAAGGTGATGATGTTGCGAGCGAGAGACAATCACCGGCGAGGGACGGCAATGAAGACAATTCCAGGGGATGATGCTACGAGGCGCAGGGACGGTGCGATGAAGACAATCCCAGGCGATGATGCTGCGAGGCGTAGGGACGGCGAAGCACGGAAGGTGCAGCGAAGCAAGAAGGGGCGAGTGGGATAAGGGGGAAACCTAGAGAAAGAGAGATATTTTATTTTTTTGGGGTGGAGGGAATTTTTTTTTGGAGGGGGGGTATGGAGTATATGGGGGACATCCGGTGTACATATCCGGTGTCCCCATAGAATTATCCAAGTGAAAAAGGTGGAAGTGAAAAAGGTGGGTTTCACTGCAAACATTACTGACAAATCGTCAGTTCTGATTTTTTTTTAATATTTTTTTTGGTTTCGCATGTACTATGTGCAATTGTCCTAGTGGGGAATTTAGGGGAATTTAATGTTCCACTTTAGAAAATACATTTTCCATTTTTTTTCCGTCTGAGGGAAACCACCCGGTTAGATATATTGCCGTTACCCCGTAGTACGTGTTTGTAGAAAGATGCTGAGATCAGCTTTAACTCCAATTTTCTCAACATTTCCCACCAAAACCCTTCCCGCAGCAAGAAGGATAAGCTCTTCTGCAGTAGCAGCAGCAAAACCCCCACAACCTGTTCGACGAAATGCCCCACCCAACTACATCACCCTCCCCCACCTTCCCCCAACCTCTGCATACGTTCACCTCCCCTTCTGCCGGCGGCGCTGCCACTACTGCGACTTCCCCATCCTGGCCCTCGGCACCACCTCCTCCTCCGAGGACCCGCGAATCGCCAACTACGTCGACCTCATCTGCCGAGAAATCACGGCCACCATTGCCCTGAACCGAAATGCTGACCAACCGCCTCTGGAAACTGTCTTTTTCGGTGGCGGGACCCCTTCTCTTGTGCCTCCACGGCTGGTCAGGTCGGTCTTGGATGCGTTGACTGTGAGTTTCGGTGTGAGACCCGGCGCGGAGATATCAATGGAGATGGACCCGGGGACATTCGGGGAGCGGGAGCTGAAGGAGGTGATGGTTTCGGGGGTGAACAGGGTGTCGTTGGGAGTGCAGGCGTTTCAGGAGGAGATGCTCAAGGGTTGTGGGAGAGCTCATGGGTTGAAGGAGGTTGATGAAGCTATTGAGATTATTGTAAGGTCATGTAATGTTGAGAACTGGAGCATTGATCTCATAGCTTCTCTCCCTGGCCAGACACTGGAGATGTGGGAAGAGAGCTTGAGGCGCGCCATTGATGCCCGGCCTGCACACGTTTCGGTCTACGATTTGCAGGTAGAAAAGGGGACCAAATTCGCAAAAATGTGAGTTTCTGTAGGATACGCTATCAACTCTTTTTAAACCAATTGGTGTTAGAAAAAACACATGCTTTAGTCTTATAGTCCTTCAACACACACAAGCGCCCACGACGTTCGAGTCTGACTTGACACACATAGCCTTCGCCACAGGACAATTAATGCACACATGGCCAAGAATCTACCCCTCAGCAATTGCTCCCGCTGGAAATCGAACTCGTAACTTTGGCTCTGATACCACTTGTAGGACCTCAGACACTAACAACTCTCCTAAAATCAATTGTTGTTAAGAAAAGTGCATATCTTAGCCTTATAGTGCCTTCGGCACACACAAGCACCCACGACAAGTTTCTTTCATGTTTACATGCAAGACTCAAGCAAAAACAAATCTTATAATATAAAATCATTCTATAATCTACGACCAAAAGTTTGAGCTTTTGGTTGAGCTGGTTTCTTGACAGAAATAACATCTCTATTTTTGTTTTTGCAGGTATACTCCTGGAGAACATCCCTTGCCTTCTGAGAAGCAATCTGCTGAGTTTTACAGCATGGCTTCAAAAGCATTATCCGGCGCCGGCTTCAGCCATTACGAGATCAGTAGCTACTGCAAGACAGGTTACCAGTGCAAGCACAACTCCACCTATTGGGACAACAAATCTTTCTACGGTTTCGGGCTCGGGGCAACCAGTTTTCTCAACGCGCTAAGGTTTCCGAGGCCCAAGAAGTTGAAGGACTACGAAGGGTACATCCAAAGTCTAGAGAGCGGAACAGTAACCTGTTTCGGGGAGAAGAACAGTGATTTGAATGCTGGGGACATGGCCATGGATGTCGTTATGCTCGCTCTAAGAACTGCCAAAGGTTTGGATTTGAAGTCTTTCGGGGAAGCTTTTGGTAGCTCCTCTGTGATGTCTCTTTTGGATGTTTATAAACCACATGTGGAAACTGGGCATGTACTTTGGTTGGATGAGCAGAGGAGAAACGTTACAATTGGAGACGCAGTTTCGTTCATTCGCCTCAGTGATCCTGATGGCTTCTTGTTATCCAATGAGTTGATATCTCTCGCCTTCTGCGCTCTCGGGTAAATACGTGGGACCATGCTACAATGATACTACAGATACCACCAAGCGTAACACTTTCAGTGTCTCAGGTAGTGTCAATTTGGTGTCATCCCTGAAGTTAAATTAGCTTTCTCTATGAAGTATGAAAGAAAGTTTGTTTAGTAAATGTTTGTTTCTCATTCTTTATCTGACTATTGCTTTCTTGGTAAAATGACAATACCACCAATCTTTATTTTTATGAAAAAAGGTGCCAATTTCTCATCTGCATCTTTACTAGCATCAGAAAGAACACACATTCATTGAAGAAAAAATACTAAAAAAACGTGTTACGTGTTGCGAATAAACCTCATCTTCTTCATTTAGTTAACTTCTTATGGCTTCTTATGGTAGAATGATAAACTAAAATGTGTATAAATCCACTCTTCATGAGCATCAGAAAGAAAGATGTGGATAAAACAAAAATAAAAATGTTGAAAGCATTAGTGAAGTTCTTCAATAGACAGATCAAGTATTCGACTACATTACACGTTATTGCAGTCTACCAAACGACACCTAAGCCAAATATGCGTAAAGATTGAAAAATATTTGATCAGAGAGCACACAGTAAGAAAACTAGTCCATACTTTCTAAATTTTGACACCATAAATGATGAGAATTTTTTTGAATGTTACAACACACAAAAGCCCTCTCACTGAATGACACCAAGCAAGAGCGAAAAGAATTAGCCTATCACAATCTCAACTGTAATACCTCAAACAAAAATATTACTCGGATGCGTGTGTGAATGTTACAACAAAGTCCCTTTAACTTCTTCGTTCTTACAGCTACGAAGGCTTTGGTTTTCTTCCGGCTTTGGAGATGCGCTTGAAGTCTTGCATTCCCTTTCTCATTTCTCTGCAAGAATAAACATGTCGTTTTTTAATTATGTATAGGCACGGCGAGGTTTCGAGGAAGATTTAAATATACTTGGGGCTAGAAAGTGCATCACCTTTGATAGAGGTAAACAAGTAGGTAGAATATAGGGAGAAGCATCAAAGTCAACACTGAAGCTGCTATATAGAATATACTTGTATGCTTCTGCACACACACACACAAAAAACAGTTTGACATCATTTGACATATTGGATTAGTGGTCTTCAAAAAAACATATTGGATTAGTGGATGTTATGGAAATACAAAGTATAGAGTATGGAAATATATACAAGTAGATGGAGTAAAAGGAACCTAAAACATATAATGAGCCCTAGTATCCTTCTCCAATGGCTCAAGCTTCATAATGTTTTATACGTTTTTTATTATTCTCTATACTAGAAAGTTACCAAATATCCAAATGAAAGAAGGAAAACGTTTATGGATCCCTACTCTGCCTCCTTTAGGAAAAGGTTTTTTCTTGCCGGTGCAAGAATGGGCATCACAGAATTGGCGCAAAAATAGCTCTACAAAATGAAAAAGATATAAAGAGCGTTACTAAGCCCCAACAATAAGCAATTTTTTTAAAAATTACATTATAGTCTTATAAGGAACGTGTGACGTACCATGGAGACGAGTTGCTTTGGGACCCTGGTTTATGGGAAAACAACTGTTTGCAAGACTCTGCATAGAAAGAATGCAAGCAGTGTTAACAAAGTGAGGTCAAAAGTCAAAACATGGTCAAAGGGCATATGGACAACCTCACACAAATGGCGATTCCTTGCAGCAGCCGCAGGGTTGCATTTGGTCTTCAGAGGTTTTGACTCATCCACCAGGTCACAATGCAGTGCTCCACACAGATCTGCCAAACACTTGCTATGACTCTGGAACCATAAGGGGATTAAGTTGGAATACATTAATGGGAAACAATACATTTTAGGAATGGAAAAATAGAAAAAAAAAGTTGAACTGTAACAGACACGCAAGAGAGGAAGTTAGTACGTACAACATTTAGAAGATTAAAATGTCTGTTATCAAAATGTTGATCCATATATTTTTCAGCCCGGAAAACTTTTTTGCAGTATCCACATTGCCAATCATTTATGTCTACATGAATCTTGTGTTCCTCCTGATCTCTGAAAATGTCGTTACTGGGATGCAGTCTACATGCTGTTGAGAGCTCATAGTTTTCACGTTCCAGAAATGGATGCAAATACTGCAGATACCCCAAAGCAGTTCAGTCCTCCATCGTTTAAAGAAATATAAATTTAAAAGTGTCAGTTTTAATTTTTTTTCTTGCGAGGTTGACTTGAATCTTGAATGTGCTTACCTCTTCTAAGACTTTCCACGCAGCTCGACTTCTCTCTCTCGAGCAATGAACTTCATGAACACTTGACTGCTCTTGGTCAAGAGTCCTAATCAAGGACAAAATAGACCAATTTTTATGTTACAAATAAGTAGTATTAACTTTGCTTGATAAAATGTATGTCCAAAGATGAAACCTTTCAAGTTTCAACCTTGAATTTGCATGCTTTCTAACTTCCAATTCATTTTGTATCATGAATAATAACTTTGGATCTTGAATTTCAACTTCTAGATCCCAATCCAGATGTAACACAACATGTGACTATATTGAAATGAAATCAAGAAATTAATATAAGCAGAATCTTACCTTGACGAAAATTGATCTACACCCTGCAAAAAAGAAAATAAAAGCCTGAGAACAACAAGAACTGGACAGAAATTCTACTCTTAAAAAAGGCACAACTTCATATACCAATTTCTTTTCTTTCTACAATCTTTATAAAATAACTTCACTGAAAATAAAATTAAAAAAGGCGTAAAACTGAATTTAAAAAAATGGGTATCTCCAAAATGGAACAAAAATCAAGAAATCAACTAATCAATTGAATAAGCCCTCTGTATGTGATGATAATATCAGTACCCAGAACAAAAAATTAAAGAGAACTAATAAAAATTTTCATTTAAGAGCATATTAAATCAATTTTTTACAGGCACAAAAATCCCCTCATATATGTCGTGATCTGGATAGAAAAAAAACTCACTGAAATAAAGGGGCTTTCTTGAATGTGATTAAAGAAACGAATTGAGGGTCGGAACCTGATCTAGCTGAGGAAGAACCGGTGAAGAAAAGCAAGCGAATAGAAGATGGAGAAGAAGAAGACGACGAAATCTATGGGGGAACAATTTCACTACTTTTCCCAGACTGGTTCGCATATTGGGCGTCTCTCTTCTTGAAGAATCGCTTCAAATTTTATGCCTTTCTCTCTCGGTTTCCCCTGCTCTTTGATTTGTGGAGATATTTTCTTTCTACTTCCATACTTGTGTTGTATTTGACGCCTTTCTCTCTCGGTTTCCCCTGCTCTTTGATTTGTGGAGATATTTTCTTTCTACTTCCATACTTGTGTTGTATTTGACTTGGCTGTTTGGCAACTTCTGAATGGGTAAGTGCTGAACCAGTAAGAGGTCTGAATCATTAAGTGCTGAACCAGTAAGAGGTCTGAACCATTAAGAGCTAGTATATTGCTTAACTATTCAGAGGCAAATGTCTGATCAAATCAGATAACAGCTCTTAACCATTCAGACTCTGTATAATACTTAACCATTCAGAGGCAAATCTCTTAACCATTCAGACATCTGAACCATTAAGAGACTGAAACAAACAGTCTGAACCATTAATATTTTGAGCGTGAAAGTCACATTTTTGAACCCTAATTATACATTAATTTGAAATTTTTTTTAAGAAAGCTGGAGGAACAGACACTATATTTTACGGAGTAATAGAATTATAGTTTAAAAAAAAAGATGATTACTCGAACCAAACGGTTTGACCAGTCATATTATGAATTAGATGTGTTATTGTTTAGCGCAATTCGATGGATAAATATGGTTTTACAAAAACTTATTTAGACTCGTCAGACTTGATGAATCTTCGTGACATGGTGGATTCACATGTTTTGCTTTTTGTTACGAAGTACTCCGTGATAACTTTCTTTCTTTTTTTAGTTTTAGATTTTTTTGGACTCGACTCCGTATTAATCTCATTTTATAAACCTTTAAGATAGTTAAAAAAGAGCATTATTTATTTTTCAACTAAATATATGTCCAAATGTTATACTGTACGAAGTACGAGTATATACTACGGAGTACTTTGTAACGCATTAACTAATAGGCACAACGATAAGTCATTAACCCAATTACTCCAATAATTGATTCGATTGACCCAGTTCAATTGATTCGGTACGAAGTATCATTGACCCTGTTCAATTGATTCGATCAATTAACCATTAATCCAATTACACCTTGACGTTTGGCTCGATTTTTAGAAAACTACTCATGAGTCATGACTACTCATTTTGTTTTTCAATGCTCTCTAAAAAATTTGAAGAGTGGAATATAGATACAACAAGTATCAATTTTAGTTAAGATTTGGAAGTTTGTCTTTGTACTTGAGTTTGAAATAAGAAACTCAAAATCTAGAATGTGTAAAATGATATCTAAAGAATACTCCCTCCGTCCCACTATATTTGTCCACTTTCATTTTTGCACACCATCCAATGCATTTCTTTAATCCATTTTATCTTGTAATTTGTATATTAAAAAATTATAGAAATTATATATTAATAATCTATATGTTAAGACAAATCAAACAAGATCACACATGACTATATTTAGGCTTACACATTGAGAGAATTTGATGAGTCAAAGTGTTTAAATGAACAGTTCCAAAAGTCAAAACTGGACGAATATAGCGGGACGGAGGTAGTAATATTTTGCAAGGCGTTCAAGATACAATTGATTGGACACGAGTATTTTTTGTTCAAGATTAAAAAAATTCACTCCGTAATTTGTGTAATATCTGCTAAGTTCTGCACTAAATGGCATGAGCAAAAGATATATAATGGTGTGTAAAATACACTTAATAGTGAACGCATGACATTATGACCTTATTTATACTCCGTATAAAATGGTTGTTACGTTAAAATGGGAATACTTGAATCAAAAATGTTACTCTAAGTAACAAATTTAATAACACCAGGGACGACAATCATCTATAAATTTGTGGACACATTAAATATAATTTGTCTGTTAACACCGCAAATATAATTTGTCTGTTAACACCGCAGATGACAATCAAATGTAAATTTGTACGCACAAAAGTTAGAACACCTCAACCGAGCCAGGCATGCCTTTGAATGCCTCTATAAGCCGACTCACGTGCTTTCAATTATTTTTTTTTTTTTTGCAATTTACCGCGTCGCCTAAAAAACGAAACGTGAAACCCTTCTCTCTTTTTTTGGAGGGATTTCATCAACATGTGAGTTGCAGGTCTCTTAAAAACAATCTCTCTAGTTCCTCGGTACTCTGGGAATTCAACAATCTCTCTATTTATGTATAACTAAAGATATCGTATTGCAGTCCATGAAAGTTAAAGTGCAAACTCAATAATGGGACAAAGATAGTAATAACAAAGGGATAGAGTGAATCTAGCTGAGTTTTGATGGTTAAAGAGCGGCGAGAAATCAGACGACATATAAAAGTCGTAATGAATGCCCAAAACAGTTCATCTGGAATTACAATAATGACAGATCTAACCAAGAAAACTTAAACTAGATGGTATCACTAGAGCATTTTTGTTCACATCAAAGACATCAGGTATCAAGTCAAATATTAGACAATCTACACGTTGCTCGTTCATCGTCGTCAATAATTATTAATTTGTACAATGCATATCAGCTCACAAGCTAAGAGGTTAATTAAATCTATGGGAAAGTAATGGTTGAGAGCAATCATGACAATCAAAAGAGAGAAGAGGGGTAAATAAAAATCAAGAACCATCTCCAGAAGAAAGTAAATTTATCTTTTACCAGAGTGAAGAACTGCATGCATCCATCCATATTATCATTCCTCAGTGGGCCCCGATATGGACAATCATGTCAAGGCTGCCAATGTGTTTGTTTTCACCAGTTTCCGTCCTTGAATCTCCCCTTGTTGTCATTGTCGCATTGGTGGTATCAGCCTCGCCCGAGTTCTGGGTCATAGTCCTACAAGGGGGCATGTCATGGATATGGCTCCCCTCATATGTTGTGATAACCATTCTGGGATCATGGGAAGCCCTCTCAACATGTTTCTTCACAAAACACCCTGTGCTCGAGCATCTGTAATAGCTTCTGCAAAATGGGAATGCGATTTTGAGTGAAAATACAGACTTGTTTTACATATATTGAATGTCACACCAACCACAGTCAATCTCAGCAAAATTGGGTGTTTGAGGGAAGTCATGTTCTCATTTCTCACCACTTCCCAACAAAAAGTGCCCCATTTAAAGAAAAGATACTAAATTGCATTATATCTTAACTTTTAAAAAAAATAAATGTATGCCATGAAAGTTAGTCATGGTAAATTTAGTTAAACAACCTGATAAGTTTAAAAATATTTGATGATTTCACTAGTTGTACCACGTTAAAATATAAAAGCTGTGTCGTTGGGAAATTGGACTCTATTTATGGGATCCGGAGTATTTCCTAACCGGCCAACCGAAACAGTTGGTCTTTTACATGATGTGTGCTATATTATGATTAATATCTGTCAACATTCATGCAAACAGCTTGACCTCCCAGAACCCAGAAATATATTTAAACCTATTTGAGTTTTATTTGCTTCTTAGTTCTCCCCAACATCGTCCACCTTCCAAATCCATCCACTACTTCCTCCTACCAGCTCATGGCCCCAATCTCTGAGCTCTTTTTTCTCATTCATATTGATTTAGTATATCACTGATCCCTCTCAAAACATGGAAAAAAGAGGTGGCCATCGATTATAATTGATTATTTGTGCATTTTTCCACACTGCACACATGCCTGTGAATTTTCGGCCTTCTTTCCCTACTCCCCTAACAATAAATGACATCACCGACATATGGGGTTCATGGCATGAAATTAAGTAATTAGTATATAGGGTTTACTATTTGGGGNCTTATCTAGTAAATTTTGCTTACAAATATTCAATTCAAGCCAGACTTGGTAAAAGTGTAAAGCATAAGAAATACAATACAACAATATATCATCCACCCTTGTGTTTTTTTTGAAGGGGAAAGGAATATAGAACATGCAAAGGTCACATAAACTACAATTATATGTTTGGATATCAGCTTCTAATCCACAAGCTGTACTGTTAGACAAAGAATTCCGATAAAGGTAATAGTCAGCTCAATTTCAAATTGCTAGGAGATTACTCGGCTAAGAGACAATCAGAAGACTATCAAACCAGTATTGTAGAAGTAAAATACACCATTGAGTACAAGCCTAAAACTTTAGAAAGAATAGGCATGTCATCAAAGATCACAGAGAGACAAATTTGAGCAATCACAATTCACAAGTAATCAAATACGAGAAATTCAAATAAAGGAATAGGAAAGAATGGGCAGATATCTTTTTGGGTTGTACTCCCTCCGTCACTGAAATATGCTCCTACTTTCCATTTCACTTGTCCCTAAATAGAATCCACTTGCCTTATTTGGTAAAGAATGAGATCTCCATTTACTTTACCATCATTTGATATCCCCACCAACCATCATTATCACTCCCAACCACTAAACTAAGGAAACCTTGAATGTTAATAAGGGACAGAGGGAGTAATTGATTGACTTTCCAACATTTTCTCCCAGTTGGAAAATTTAGCTGCAAAATGGGACAATAGCTACGCATTCAGCCATAAACGCACCCAAGCTTCAAAGCACAGAACTGCTGAAAGTACCTTGGGTTTGGGTTTCCCTTTACAAACTTCTGTCCATACTTGCGCCAGCGGTAGCCATCATTCACAATATCCACATCGCTAATAGTCTGAACAACATGCTTTGGTTCCCCATGAGACTTATTGTCATCATAGCCGGAAAAATATTTCTTTCTGTTGAATAGGCAATTGATAACGACACGTGTATCAGTATAGAGCGACCTAAAACAACAACTCAAAATGAATGTACACGAAGAAAAAAAAACTGAAAATAAGCTATTTAGGTTGGCATACTGCTTTTTCAAATCTGGACCAGTGATTTGATCATCCTCATCCTGCAAATTATGTGACAGAGAACCTGAATCCAATGTGTCTGCATCAGCTGATGCAACACCCTGTGATAGTGGAGTCTGTTTTGTCTCATTAGTTTCACACTTCCCCCCAGGCGTAGGTGTAACAGATTGTGTGCCTTCACTCAAGACAATGACAGTGTATGTATTAATAATATGACTCAATCCAGATCAGTAATAGAAAAGACTCGGCAAACTTGGATTACCTTCAGAAGCAGTTGCGACAGGCAGTTCTGTTTTTCTTACTTGGACGTTGGGAGATACCTGAGGGTTATTTTGAGGTTTAGGATGTTCATGGTTACCAATGTAATTAATATCTGTAATATGACCATCTTGAGATCTCTCTACTTGTCTTTTTGCAGTGCAATCAGTGTGAGTGCACTTATAATAACTCCGAATAAATTCATTTCCTCTAACAAGCTTCTGTCCATACTTTCTCCAATTGTATCCATCTTCTGATGGTTTTTCAGCAGCTTTTACACTTCTTTGATCAAACTGTGATGCATGAGCACCATTTTCGGGGTTCCTCCTTGGCTGCAATTTGTCTAAACCTTTTTCATGCCATTTGAGATAAGCCTCATAAGCTATTCTTTGCTCATTAGAATGAGCAGCAAGGACACTTTGTAAGGGCTGTGGATTATCTGAAGCCTTGTCAGTAATTACAGAAAGAGCGAGAGATTCTTCCACACAATTCTTTTCATCATTTCTCTGTCCGTTCCCATTGTCAATGGTCTCCTCCTTGGGTACAATAGAAACTTGGCTAAACTGTGAAGCATCATCCTCTTTCCCTTGAACTGCAGGAGGAGAATTCTTTCCTTCGTGCAATTGAGATGCAGAGGAGCTCCCATTAACAATACTCTCCCTCCGCTGCAAATCACATGGCACAAGTTTAGGCTTATCAACATCCCCAACTTTCTTTTCTATCGATTCAGATGCTTGTGCTCCAACTTCGTGGCTCACTCCCTTCCGAAGCTCACCCGAAGCTCCCTCGGCCAACAACGGCCCATCACTCACTTTGTATTCGGTCTCCGATTCAAGAAACCCAGGTTCAGGCTCCGGCTTCACCTGCAATTTTCCAGAAGAGCCCTCATGGACGCCCTCTTCCTTGGGCGTAGCCATAGAACCTAAGCAGAGCGAACACTCGAAATCAGCTTAAAAACAACCATAACAAGCCCATCTCAGACAAGGGCAAAGGTGACAGACATCGTACCAATTTTTATTTTTTTGAAAAAGGAATTATTATAAAAAAAAATGATCCCGAAATGATGGTTGGCATATATGACCTAGACTAGAACTAGGGAGTCAAGGATTACATAAAAGCAGAAAATCAAGTAACTTTCTTGTCTAATTTCGTTCCATTCTCTAGAAGACAGAAGGGGATTAAGACTCAGTTTACGATTAGATTAAAAAAAATAGCAGATGAGGATTAAAGGAAGAAGAAGATACCAGAAATACGGAACCGATCGAAATATCGGCGACTGAGAGCTCGGGGCGAGCTGAATTCCGACTGCGGAAGCGCCGGAGGAAGTGAATCGGAGCAGCCGTGCACGGCGGGAGGTGGGTTGAGTGGCAGATTTGACTTGGGGCGAGTGAAAAGTCTTCGAAACCGCAGTGAATTGTGCGTGTAGAAAAGGTATTAGATGCGATGTGTAGTAAATCGTCGTCGTCGTCGTTTGTGAGAATGTGGAGGAAGATGATGGCCGAAACGTGGGTAGGAGTAGTGGGCTTCTGCTCCAAAAGTCAAATTGGCAAAATCTAAGCTTCCATGGACGATCAAATCGACGATCCAGGTTGTTTGTTTGCCCAGGATTGTGATGGAAAGAAGTTGTCAAAGTTCTGTTTCAAAAACTTTATTTTACTAATATCTCATAATTTGATAATGTCAAGGTTCAAATGACATTGAACCTTGATGTAATGGGATGACCCGGGGTACCACGGTGCCCCATTCGTAAAATTGACGATTCTTATCCCCTAACCTCCCGGTAAACCCCCACCCGGCCCTGACCCGAACATAATCTCCCACCCCCTTCAATTGCACCCCACAAGTTGATTTTGACTTTGGAGTCAAATTTTGACTCTAAAGTCAAAATCAACTTGTGGGGTGCAATTGAAGGGGGTGGGAGGTTGTGTTCGGGTCGGGGCCGGGTGGGGGGTTTACCGGGGGGGTTAGGGAGGTAGGAATCGTCAATTTTACGAATGGGGCACCGGAGCACCCCCGGGTCATCCCATGACATCAAGGTTCAATGTCATTTGAACCTTGCCCTTTGACAAATAGGTATTGTTACTCTTTATAATTTCAAAATGTATTGTCAAATATTCTTTGGGTCTGTTTGTTATACGGAATTGAAATGGAATTGAAATTCCATGGGATTTTGTAAAGGATGAAAGAGAATATTTAGCATTTATTAGCATTTATTTCTGTATAATTTAGTTATGGTAGTTGCCTTGTATAGAGATTTCTTTTCCTTTGTTAATTAGGACTCTTTGTTATATATACGTCTGGATTGTAAATTGTAAAACACAGAAAGGAGTACAAAGATTTTTATTCCGAAACAATTCTTTCATGGTATCGGAGCTAAAACTCTAGGAATTTCCGCACGATCGCCCGGCATCGCGTCCATCGATCGTTGCCCGTTGTTGCTGCCGAGAAGACCGGAACAGTCGACCGTTTGTTCACAACGGTCGGAGACATCGACCGTCCCGACGGCAGAATCTCCAACCGCTGCTGTTTTTTATCCAATTCTTGAACTCTGTCATCTGGTATGTCTGAAGCTATGAAGATTATTTCCGGTAAGAAGAATGAAGAACGAGAGGAGGAGGAGGTTGGGGTGCGACGTCGTCGTATCTCCCCTTACGATTTGTCTCCGAGCGACAATCCGGGTATGATCTTGACCCATGTCGTTCTAAAGGGAGATAATTATGATGAGTGGTCCAAATCTCTGCGCTTGGCTCTTCGAGCACGCAAGAAATTTGGATTTGTTGATGGAACAATTGAGATGCCAGATCCCGATTCAGAAGATTTTGACGATTGGTGGACAAACCATTCACTGTTGGTCTCTTGGATTCGGAACACGATTGATCCAACCATGAGATCCAGCGTATCCTTTATGGAAAAGGCTTCAGATCTGTGGAGCGAGTTGAAGGCTCGTTTCTCTGTGGTTAATGGACCAAGGGTCCAGCAGTTGAAGCGAGAATTGGCAGAATGCAAATAGAAGAATCTTTCTATAATGGAATATTATGGAAAGATGAAGAAGTTGTGGGATGATCTAGCAGATTTAGAGCGGTTCCCGATCTGCACGTGTGACTTGCAGGAGAAGCTCACGCAGATGCGTGAGAGGGAACGCTCCCATCAATTTTTGATGGGTCTGGATGATGCTTTGTATGGGACTTTGCGGTCAAATTTGTTGGCCCAGGAAATCATACCACCGGTGCCAAGAATATATAACATTCTTGTCCAAGATGAGACGGCACGACATGGCATGCACAAAGGAGAAAGCAGTGAAGCCTGTGTTTGCCGTAAAGAACAAGATGGAGGTCAAAGAGCTCGTGTGCTCACATTGTGGGAAAACAGGACATGATATTGAGGCGTGCTACAAGCTGATCGGGTACCCAGAGGGATGGGTGTACCGTTATCAGGCCGGAAGAGGAAGAGGAAATGGCCGGGGAAGGGGTCGTGGTGCTGCACGAGGTGGCGAACGGTCGACCGTGGCGGCTGGACGGTCGACCGTTACGGGCAGACGAGGGGAAGTCCATGCAGTTCAAGGAGAAGAAAAAGGACCATCCCCGCTCCTGAACTTTGAGGATCTGACACCTGAACAGTGGAACGCTGTTCGTCATGCACTCTCGCTCTCCCCTACAGATAACTCACAGAAACTCTCAGGTATCCTTATATCACCTCGTTGGATAATTGATACTGGTGCGTCCAATCATATGACAGGTGATCTTTCGTTATTATATAATGTTGTGGGAGTGTCTCCCTGTGAAATTGGACTGCCTAATGGGAAACGGGTTGTGTCTGTTCAATCTGGAAAGGTTGATTTGACTATGACTATGACTTTGCAGAATGTGTTGTTTGTTCCAACCTTGAATTGCCATTTAATTTCTGTGTCACAGTTGACAAGGGATATGAACTATGAAGCAAAGTTTACCAACGATCTGTGCATCTTACAGGACCTAAGTTTGAGGACAACGATTGGTGTGGGTAGATATGAAGGAGGATTGTACTACCTAAAGAAGGAAGGGAGGAGCTTGGCGTGTAGTGCTTCTAAGAAGAATGTGTTTGACCTTTGGCACAAACGTCTAGGACATCCTTCTTCGCATGTTTTATCATTAGTTCCTGTAGTTGGTTCAAATAAAAGTAGTCATTGTGATATCTGTTTGCATGCTAAACAAACTCGTGCCAGTTTCCCTATCAGTTTTCATCAATCTATGGACAAGTTTGATATGGTGCATTGTGATGTGTGGGGTCCTTATCGGACACCAAGTTTGGATGGTTCTACACTGTTTTTGACTATTGTAGATGATTTCTCGCGTGGTGTGTGGGTATATTTGCTTGATTCAAAACGAACTGTAGGGAGTGTTTTTAAACAATTTTGTGCCATGGTTGATTGTCAATTTGGGAAGAGAATAAAATGTGTGAGAACTGACAATGGTACAAAATTTGAGTGCTTGAATGAATATTTTTTGGAGAAGGGAATTGTTCATGAGACATCTTGTGTGTCTACACCACAACAGAATGGCAGGGTGGAGCGTAAGCATCTACATATTCTGAATGTGGGACGTGCTATGAGATTTCAGGCGGGTCTTTCGATAGAATTTTGGGAAGAATGTATACAAACGACGGCATATTTGATTAACCAGACTCCCTCGTCTCTCCCAGGGGGGGTTACACCGTATGAGAAGCTCTATGGAAGGGCCCCTGCGTTAACTCACATTCGTATTTTTGGTTGCAGATGTTACGTTCACAACCTGAAGAGAGACGGAGATAAATTTGCACCCAGAAGTATTCCTGAAATATTTTTGGGCTATCCACAAGGAAAGAAGGGATGGCGTGTGTATTTTCCGGACACTGTGAAAATAAGCGTGTCCCGAAATGTTGAATGAAGATGGAGCAAGTGTTTCTTCTCCACTTGATCACTTCGGCGATGAAGATGACATGACTGCGGAAGAGCAGCTGAACCGTTCCACGAGGAACGGTCGACCAGAGGAGACCAGTGAAGCAAGTGAGCTATAGACGGTAGACCTAGAGGACTGTCCCGCTGTCCACGGTAGACCAAGATGGACATCTGGGAGTGCAACCAACGGTCGACGTGGTGGACCGTTCTAATAACCACAGTCGACCGTCCGAAGGGTAGAAAGATAACCTCCAGAGGGATGATGAAACGGTCGACCGTGACGAGGAGAACGGTCGACCGTCTCTGCGGCAGAAAGAAGACGCTCAGGAACCATTACAGACGGTCGACCCCGTGGACCATTCCACGGATGGCGGTCGACCGTCCTCTCTCTAGAACACAACAGAGACCTTGGGGCGTGGTCAGCGGGAAAGGCGCCCAAATGTGAGGCTTGCGGACTATGTTACGCATGTGGCTGGTCCACAGATCGGAGAAAAGTGCAGATATCCACTCTCCTCATATGTCATTTATGCGAAATTTTCTGACAAACATAAGTGTTTTCTCGCAACACTTGATGAAGAAATAGAGCCTAAAAATTATAAACAAACCTTTCAGGATGAACGTTGGAGGAAGGCCATGCGAGAAGAAATTGATGCATTGGAAGCCAATGGTACGTGGTCTCTTGTTCGTCCTCCATGTCATAAAAAGGCTCTTGGATGCAAGTGTGTATATAAAATCAAGCGCAAGTCTGATGGCAGTATAGAGAGATACAAGGCTCGGCTTGTTATACTTGGTAATCACCAGGTTGAAGGTATTGACTACAAAGAAACTTTTGCTCCTGTGGTCAAGTTAACCACCGTGCGCACCCTTTTAGCAGTCGCATCAGTTAAGGGATGGGAATTGCATCAGATGGATTTTCACAATGCATTCCTGCATGGAGATCTTCCGAATGAGGTGTATATGAGGTTGCCACCTGTTTTCTCGAGTTCGTCTAATATGGTGTGCAAACTCAAGAAGTCTTTGTATGGCTTGAAACAGGCTCCAAGATGTTGGTTTGCAAAATTGTCTGGGGCATTGAGACGATATGGATTTGTGCAGTTTGTTTCCGATTACTCTTTATTTTCTTTTGTTAGGAAAGAAAGGAGTAATTAATGTTCTAGTCTATGTAGATGATTTGATCATTGCGGGTGATAGTACTGAGATGATACACAAGTTTAAGGAATACTTAGCAGATTGTTTTCGGATGAAGGATTTTTCTCTGCCAACGAAAGTACGCTTTAGATATCATTACTGAGGCGGGGCTGTTAGGTGCCAGACCGTTGGGTGCCCCGATGGAGCCAAATCATCACTTGGCTCGTTCCCAAGCTCCTGTCCTCGCAGATCCGGAACTGTATCGATGGCTGGTAGGAAGATTTGTCTATCTCTCTGTTACTCGACCTGAGCTCTCCTACGCCGTGCATACTTTGGCACAATTTTTGAAAGAGCCAAGGGAGGATCAGTGGTCTGCGGCGCTTGGGGTGGTTCGTTACTTGAAAGGGTGTCCTGGACAGGGCATTTTTCTCTCTGCAGATAGTAGCCTTCAGCTTACGGGATGGTGTGATTCGGACTGAGCAGCATGTCCTTTGACCCGGCGATCATTGACAGGCTTGTTCATGCAACTTGGGGAATCGCCGGTTTCGTGGAAGACAAAGAAGAAGACAACGGTGGCTCGTTCGTCTGCTGAGGCAGAGTACAGGGCTCTCGCGGTTCTTACCTGTGAGCTGAAGTGGTTGAAGAATTTGTTGAGATGCTTGGGGGTTGATCATAGGAATCCTATGATCGTGCGTTGTGACAGCACCGCAACACTTCATATTGTTGCTAATCCGGTTTTTCACAAACGAACGAAGCATACTGAGATTGATTGTCATTTTGTTCGTGATGAGCTTTTACGAGGAGAAATTCGTGCCCATCATGTGCTTACTACGCATCAGCTTGCAGATATTCACACGAAGGCACTTAGAAAGTCACGCCTGGAGTTTCTTATTCCCAAGTTGGGCATTTCAGCATTACATGCTCCAACTTGAGGGGGGGTGTAAAGGAGGAAAGAGAATATTTAGCATTTATTTCCGTATAATTTAGTGCTATCAAACACCAAAATTGAAATTGAAATCCTCAATTTCAATTTCATAGTTTGAATTCCGTGTACCAAACGGGGCCTTTAGATCTTTGGTGAATAGCTTTAATGTCCCAATAACTTTAGAAATGGCCATCCAACACTTGCTCTTTTCATTTGGGAAGAAAAATCAAAATAAGACTAAAACATTGAAAATGTATCAAAATAAAACTCATATGTTTTTATTTCCAAAATAGGACTTAAAACAGTTATGTACATTATCAAAAAATATAGTAATGTGTACATGTACAATGTCACATTATCACAGTGCGAAGTCCTATTTCGAAAATAATAACATTAACGTCCTATTTTGGTATTTTTCTCTTTGTTTTAGTCCTATTTAAGGTGATTTATATTTCATTTGTCTACTCTTTTTTTCATAAAAGTTATTATTTTCTTTTTTTACAACTAATTTTTGTAATGTTTTAAACATCAAAATTTTGTGTTTCAATAAAAAGAATTATTGTACACTTTATGTCTCTAATTAAACATTTTCATTTTTTTGTGCAAAAACGGTCTTTCATGAAACAAAAACCAATGAAACATTTTTTCTTTTTTGCATGAAGTTCATTTCTTATTTTCTGTTCATTTTGTGGTTTCTTTTCTTAATTTTAATCAAAATCACAATAAAAGAATAAAGGAACAAAAAAGTATATGAAGAAAATAAAAGTATATGAATATCTAATTTTATAGAAAATAAAAAATTAAGTTACGAAGAAAATATGTTGAGCATCGGTCCAAAAAAGACCGTAATCTATATTGTTTTGGTCCCAACAGGTTCAAAAAAATTTTAAACAAAAAATGAAAAATATTTTGTTTGAGACGACAAATGAAGTAATTGTTACTCGCTTCCAAAATTTATCTCCATGTTGCGCGTTACAATGTTTGATTGAAGTTATTTTCAAATCAATTTATATGAAAAGTGGTATGAAATTAAAAAAAACAAAAAATACATATTAAAAAACTACATCAAAAAATTTACAAAACAAAAGGTGACATCACCATATTATTTTATCAAATGAGTAACGAAAATAAGCCAACAAAGTGAATATATAGTTTAACCCTGTGAATAGTGAACGAGAAGATAAATTTTGGACAGATGTGGTATTTTTTTACTTCATTTTTAATTTCAAACACAAATAATTTTTATTTTAAAATATTTTTAAAAATAGTTTGAAAAATATTTATATACATTTATGAGTGAAAGAGAAGAAAAAAGGAGAATTGGTGTCCATTTCCAAAACCATATTGGGGAGCGAAGCTATATTCACCGAAGATTTAATTTGAATGGTATTTTAGTCTATAAGGGCAACAACGTAAATTTTGAAATCATAAGAAATAATCATGTACATTTACCAAATTAGGTATATGTGCTATTTGTGCTATGAACACATCATCTCAAATAATTGACATTTTTAATGTTTTATTCCTGAGGGATATTTTAATTTGGTACAACTAAATAAACAAAGGATATATTTCTCTGTCCTGGTGCTTATTGACTTATTACTGATAAAGAGAACTTAAAAGTTGTTTTTAAGTTTAATATTCCTTTTTGTAGATAAAGTGTCTAAGTCATTTATGAGCATTCATAATAGGTGAGAAATACTTTTGTAAATAATCTGGTCAAAACGAAAAATGAAAAAAATTACTTAAAAATAAGTAGATAAGGCTTTCTTAATTTTTCTACTTATATGCACAAAAAATACATTATCAGTTGATATATACGTTAAAAACATAAATAGTTTTGACCAACTTATAAGCATATAGAAACAACACGAAGTTATAAAAAAAGGATGACACCCCATCCCCGAGGGTCCCTCAACACCGGTCGAACAGTTAGAATAAAAATTGAGCTATAATCTCAGTTAGTTGGCCTAAGGATGAGGTTCCACATCTGGTACTTTCATCGCAGCCACCAGATTTCGAACTCAGGGTCTCTCTCTTGTAGCCATCATATGTCAATCGCTGAGCTACGCCTCACCGGGAACACAAAGTTAGAAGTTTGTATTGAGACGAATGAAGTATATTAAAATCGGATGGGTTCTACAACCACTCAAAAAGAGTGGCTACGAAAGTCACTCGCCCAATTAGGGCTCCGTTCGCAAAATTGATAGTTCCTACACCCTAGCCCTCCGGTAAACCCTCCACACAGTCCAGACCCCAACTCATACCCAAACCACGTCAATTGCGGGGTGCAGGTTTTTTTTTAATATCTCAAGAAAATATTTCATTTCGTGGATCAGCACACTGGTTACTAACCAGAATGATGATTGAAGAGTGAATTAAAAGAATTATTTCATTGTGAGTTTTTTTAACTCGTGTGTGACTTATCAAGATTACTCTCGTAGCGTCTCCATTTTCTTATCAAGAGTGTTGTGGTGAGGTTTTCTCTTATCAACTTCCTTGTGGTGAAAAGAGTTTCTTATCACCATCTTTAAGGTGTGGCGAAGCAATCCTTATCACCTTCTCCGTGGTGTGACGGATATTATCCCGCTTCTTTTATTTTATTTCCTTTATTTTCTATATTTTTCCAGTGCCAAGTGTGTTCGTCCTAGATCCTTGCTCAATTTCATAACAAAACCTCTCTAGAAATCTAAATGTTTGGAACTCCATGAATGTGTTCATCCTTATAGCACCAATCCAAATCATTTAGCCCTCCAAAGGCTCCAATGCAAAACATCTCTGCTGCATTGGTGTAAAAATTAAATCGAGTACATTGGTGTCTTATACAAAACAAAGTCCTACTCCAAACCCTCTAATACGTAAAGGCTCCGACTTAGGATTCACAATCCATTAGGCGTTGGCTTTGAATCCTTCGAGAAGAAACGCACAGTCTTGACAAACAATCCTCGCCAATATGACGAGTATTCCACAACGGTTATTCTCAACCGCTTTGACGGATGATTTTGCTACAGCTGTTCTGAACCAATTGCGCTGAGAATTTGGCTTACGATTATCCTCGACTGCTTGCACCAAAGATTTTGGAACGACTATCCTCAACAGTCTACACCGAGGATTTTACAATAGCTATTCTCTACTGCTTACAATGAATACGAAGAGTATGATATGATGAAGAGTTCAATACCGAATATTAACAAATGTTATACTAAAGCACAATCGCAAATACATTACCAAAACAAACCGACTGAGAATCGTGTTGGAATCCTTTGCAAACCCAAAATCAAGTCTCCATTTTGCAGCATCTCTCCCGCATCCATTAACTTTCTCATGTGCTTGACACATTGTATCATAACCTGTTTGGAATAAAAAGCAGATCATCCATCATTCAAGATGAAGTTCATCTATAGCAAACAGTACTGAGACCTTCACAAACAAATTCAGAAAATGTCTCTAAAGTGTTTGTTCATCAACAAAGAAAGATATATAATGCCCAATTGCCCATTGAGAGATGCAATTTCAGGTCGGGTTGTTGTTTCATAAACTTGGGTTATCATTACAGTAATCTAATCAATTTTTTTAAGCAATCTATGAATGAAGCCAGAATGAACATGTGTTTGCCATCCCCATCTCATATATATGTTCTGGCAGCCCTCTCAATGACACCTTGGACTTTAGTGATCCATACAGGCTTTATCGATCTACCCCATACCAGGATCATGAAATAACATAAACACAAGAAGAAGAAATTAAAGGAACAGCAAATTTCATATGGAGTATGTGCATGTGTCATAAATTCAAGAACGAACTGACCCTTTAAACAAGCGACCAAACCTATTCTCCTCTTCAAATCAACGCCAAACTTGTCATTTCTTCAGATATCCCATCAATAACGCAGCTTTGTTCTTGAAGCAGAACAAGAGATTCCAAGTATTCAAAAACGTGAAATATGAAGTCGGAACCATAGATCCCAAGTTTACTAACAGCTCCAGTATCCGGGCAGTACGAAACAAGCTCACCATCCTCCTCGTCGTCAGTAGAGATGAAAACGTCACCATTTTTCCTAAGGCCAACAACTTCCGCGGCCCATTCAACCGGTTCCATACGATGTAGCCTACACCAAGATCCCACAACTCCGTACTCTTTCATCATCCACAGCTCAAACGAAAGGCCATCCATCCCTACAGTTTGCCAATAAACAACAACAGACTCACCAAACGTCACCATTCTCAAGTCTTTTGAAAAACCTGAACCCGCACAGGCCAATTCATCTGGCAGCATAATCTCACTAAAAACTTCATCACTCATGGAGAACACAATAATACAGTACTGTCTCGCATTGTCGTCCATCAATTTGGACCCAATCCAATGCACTGCTCCATGGACAAAAGTCTGAGACTGAACTAAAATGATCTCACAGGGATTCACCCCAACAACGGATATCCTTCTCCACGTCCCCGTGCCGAGTGAATAAATCTCAACATGATCCGACACACTCCGAATCCATCCGGTCTCCCTTTCATGCACAACCCTGACAACCTTGAGACCACCCTCTGGATCAACACCAAACCCTAGTACGGAGAAGCACCATGGTCTAATAATTGCAGCAGAGGGCAAGGTCATAAGCTTCTGAATACAAGGGTTCCAAAGGTATATGGATTCGGAGCCGCTATGGCGATTGTAGAGTAAGCAAACGACGCCGTTACAGCAGCCGACCATGATAAGTATCCCGTCCCCGTCGGGGATTGAAAGGGGGAGCTCCGGAGAGCTGATAGGGGTAAGTGTTTGATGATCAGATTCGCAGAGTATTTCACACTTACGCTTTCTGGATGGATATCGTACGCGTCGGTGGAGGAGGAGGTTCCGGGAGGAATTATCATTGCAGCGGGAGTGGCGGAGGTGGGCGGAGGCGAAGGCGGGACTGGTGATGAAGAAGAACAACGACTTGGAAACGGCGGTGAAGCGGACGAGGGACCCGACGGGGAGCCTTTTCAGGACTTCGATCAGGAGTTCTTCCGGGAAATGGTGCCGTTCCGACATCTTCCATCAAATGGGAGTAAACGATGGGTCAACTATAATTTAGATAATACTCCGTACTCCGTAATATTTTAGGGTAAGTCTAAAATATGGCATTAGTGGTACTGGTGTCATTTGCTTGCATCAGTTTGTTTGGGTACGGTGCTCCGTTTGTAAAAACGACGGTTTCTACCCCTCTAACCCTCCCCCTAAACACCCCAGCCTCACCCTTGCCCCCACCACAGCCCCCCTCCCGCCCCCCTCCCTACCCTGGCAGTGGCAGTACTGCCAGGGTAGGGGGGAGGGGGGGCTGGGTTTGGGGGGGCAAGGGTGGGGCTGGGGTGGGGGGTTTAGGGGGAGGGTATGAACCGTCATTTTTACAAACGGAGCACCGTAGATACCCCAAACGAATTTGTGTAAGCAACTGATGTATAAGTAACTGGTGTCATTTTAGACGCTCCCAATATTTTATATTATATTACTCGTATTATATATTTTTAATTAATAAATATATTTTAATTCATATTTTTCACTTCCTCATTTAATTTAATGTGTTTTATAACATTTTAGTCTTATATTTAGTTGATTAAAACAAGAATAAAATAGATGAAAAAATAAGTTGTAGCATATTAAATTACTCCGTGTACAATTAAAAGTATTGCTCCACACTAATTTAAAAGATGAAAATAACTTTTCAGATATAAATTATTTAAATTTACTTCTCGATAAATAATAAATAATTTTTTTCTTAGAACTAATTTAGAATTTTGTACATACATACATTTTACAAACATGCCGATAAATAAGATATTGTGAGACCTTTTAAAATGATGGTGCATTAGCTTGAATGGAAAGTAGGGGTGAGCAAGTACCGAACCGATACCGAAATTTCCCGAAAAAACCGAAAAATACCGAATCGAAAAAATACCGAGAAGGAACCGAACCATACCGAACTGAATGGTCGGTACGGTATTTGGGAACGGTACGAGGAGACGTTCCATACCGAAAATCCCGAACCGAACATATATACTAAAATATTATAAAAAATAATACCCCGGAGTAATATTTTTATATTCCTTCATTAAATAATACTCCGGGTAATTTTTTTTTAAAAAAAAATTGATCAAGTTCTATTATGTGTAAATTATACTTTCTCCGTCCCACAATAAAGTTCCCATTTTGAATAGTATTTAGTCAAACATTTCCACACTTTGATTACAAATTGTGAGAAAGGTATATTGAATTATAAAATAAATTTAATATAATTGGATTAATCTTAGGATCTAGTTTTGATATCTCAAATTTTCTTAGCATTTCTTTATTTAGATTATTTTTAATTTATGGTCAAAGCGTGTAACTGTTTGACCAATTTATGGTCAAAATGAGACCTTTTTTGTGGGACGGAGGAAGTACAATTATTTGAGTTTTAACTTTTGTGTATGAACATAAAAGTATTCACAAAGATTTGAAATACTCCCTTATTGTCCTTCATTTTTCAGTTTGTAAAATATGAACTAAGTCTTGATACGAATCTCTTGCATTTAAATATTCATTTTTTTTAATTTTTCATGTTTTTTAAATTTAAATTCACTTTTTAATTTTCAAAAATAAAAGGGCATTGTTAAATTTTAACGTGCAAAGTAGGTATGTATATTCATCTCGATTTGTACCGAAACCGATACCGAACCATCCCGAATCATACCGAACCGATATTTCGGGATCGGGATCGGGATCGGTACGGGGTAAAATCTCATACCGAAGCAAAATATTTGGTACGGTATCGGTACGAGCTAAATACCGTACCATACCGTACCATGCTCACCCCTAATGGAAGGACTCTTGAGTTCCATGTCAATAGGTTGTGAGTGCAATACTCTGTGCCTTTCCATCTTATTTTAAAACTTTTAAAATAAAAAATGGTTTTCGATCCAAACTTGTGAACCGGCCGAGCTGACCCGCTCGGTTTACCGATTCTGATGGGTTTGGGCGTGTCAATGAAGAAATGGGTTTGGCTAATGAGTCGGACTGGATTAGTGTTCGAGTCACGGTTCAACCGGTTGGAACGACCGATCCAGTCCGGTTTTCAAAACATCGGTCCTAACTTTAGTACCTACATCATTTTTATACTTAAATTTTATTTTCGCTCACAGAAATACTTAAATTTTGAAGAGATTTTATGAAAGTACTTCAATTTTGTCAGTTTTTAGGTTACTGTCAAATCACTTTGACGTAATTACAAATTCATATATTTCCATATATTAATAGCCACACATTATGAGTGGGTACGAGGGGGTCTAGGGTGGGGGTGCATGGTCGAGCTGGGGTGGGGTGCGGTGGGGGGTTTAGGGAGGGGTTAGGGGGTAGGAACCATCAATTTTTTATTTCAAACTCTGGACGGAGTTTCAAATGAGTGAGTGTCATCCGTTGATACTAAATGCTAGTTCAACGGAACCTTGCCGAAAATGTATATTTGGAAGAATGCTAGGGTTAAACATGTGGTACCAATCTCTGTTAGATTATTCGCATGTAATACACATATTATACACTCGTACATATAATACACTTATTATACTCTTGAATATAAATTTTTCTTGTAACAAATGTATAATACATGTATTTTTTACCCTAAATGTATTTACAAATTTTATACATATTAAATCTTAAAAATCCTTTTCTATCAACGCCAACAATCAAAATTTAGAAGATCAAATTTTGGATCGGATCAATTTACTTGATTGTCTTCCTCCCAAAAATATAAATCTTTAAAATTCTGTGGCTTACCAAACCCGTGAGACAGCGGACCGGTGTGCCACTGAATTGGTATCCGAATTTGCGACATTTTCAGAACAATTTTAAACAAACGTTCTTTCAATACATATAAAAATCCATCGGAGTAATTTAAAATAATGCGGAAGCCTTTTTAAAGTCAAACAACTTGGGATCTTGCCTGAAAACGTAATAAGCATTAAAGTTAATTAAATAAAGCATAATCAACAGATTAAAGAGACAGCCACGCCATCGTACATCTCCTCCTCAATGCCCTCTGGGATCGGCTCTAGGTTCATCTGTCTGATCACCTACGGACAGCAAAAGAAAACAACGCTATCCGCTCAGCATTGACGCTGAGTGGTACTCTTTTGTAGCACAAGAATAGACATAATAATTCAACAATTAAGATCGTGCATATGTTTATCCTTTTAATAAAAATCAATTCAACTTTACATTCGGTTCTTTAGACGGTTGACCAACAGTCAACTTATTTTCTTTCTTTTCAAAACGATTTAAGTGTTACGGGTTTCTCATGAACTCTTTGACCACCGGTCAAACCAATTTAGACTTTCACCAAAGTCAAACCACTTAACATTTATT